CTGTATGGTGTACTTACTTGGTTACTATCTGTATGGTGTAGTTACTTGGTTACTATCTGTATGGTGTACTTACTTGGTTATTATATGTATGTTTTGCCTACTTAGGTACAATCTCTATGTTGTACCTCCTTAGTGACAATCTGTATGTTGTACCTCCTTAGTGACAATCTGTATGTTGTACGTACTTGGTTACTATCTGAATGGTGTACTTACTTGGTTCCTATCTGTATGTTGTACGTACTTGGTTACTATCTCTCCGGTGTACTTACTTGGTCACTATATGTATGGTGTACTTACTTGGTCACTATATGTATGGTGTACTTAATTGGTTACTATCTGTATGCTGTACTTACTTGGTTCCTATCTGTATGTTGTATTTACTTGGTTACTATGTGTATGGTGTACTTACTTGGTTACTATATGTATGGTGTACTTACTTGGTTATTATATGTATGTTGTGCTTACTTAGTTACAATCTCTATGTTGTACCTCCTTAGTTACAATCTGTATGTTGTACCTCCTTAGTGACAATCTGTATGTTGTACCTACTTAGTTACAATATGTATGTTGTACTCACTTAGTAACCATCTTTGTGTTGTAGATACTTGGTTAGTATATGTATGGTGTACTTACTTGGTTACTATATGTATGTTGTACTTACTTGGTTACAATCTGTATGTTGTACCTACTTAGTTACTATCTGTATTGTGTACTTACTTGGTTACAACCTGTATGTTGTACTTACTTAGTTACAATCTTTGTGTTGTAGTTACTTGGTTACTATATGTATGTTGTACTTACTTAGTTACAATCTGCATGTTATACTTACTTAGTAATCATCTTTGTGTTGTAGTTACTTGGTTACTATATGTATGTTGTACTTACTTAGTTACAATCTGTATGTTGTACTTACTTAGTTACAATCTGTATGTTGTGCCTACTTAGTTACAATCTGTATGTTGTACTTACTTGGTTACGATCTGTATGGTGTACTTACTTGGTTACTATATGTATGGTGTACTT